TATAAAAACATGGGGCAATGTGGTCATAAAGTAAATATATAAATAACCTGTAGGCTTTAAGGATGTGGCCCTTCTGGGAGTGCTTGCATGTTTACATATAAAAACCAGTCATGCATAGGCCCCTTTTAATGCATTTGAACTACTACAGGAAAACTTTGGTTTCAAAACCATTTAATTAAGGCTAATGAAGTTTAGGACTTGGGTACTGTATCTCATGCAGTAATACCTGTTTCTGTTCCTGATAGGTGCCTTCCATATTCAGGACTGCAATCCCCATGATCCCCACGCCTTCAGAGCAGGAGACACTCTTGTCATGATATTACATTATGATCCTTTCCAAATGCAAGCACACTGAGGTGACCCTTGTTGGGTTTTGGAACAGTGTGATCAGCATGAGGATGTGATCCAGCACTTCCACTCTTCCAAAGTACTAAAGTGCTTGCAGATATTTGATATTGAGCTATTTTGGCCCTCAACTGCAAAACAAATAGGTCAGGCAAGGCCTTTGAAAGGAATTTAATAGATCCATCCCACAGTCATAGAGAAGCATAAAACTCTTCTGCTAAAATGAGACTAGGTTTATGAAAGGCCACAGTTATCTTTTAAAGTAAGTTCTTGCCAGTCTGCAGAGCAAATACTGCACTAAAGATACAGGTAGAATTTCTGTTTTACTGGTAATGCTTCAAGTTTTATTTTTTCTCCAAATTGTGATAGAGCTTCTTGTAAGCTAAGCATTCAGCCTTACGACTTTGGCTTTATTGCTTCATAGGAAAATACTGAGATAGTAAGGCATTGAGCAGTAAGTACAAGAAGAAGCATAAGCTGCCAAAATAACAGCACAATATTTCATGATCATTATTATTATTATTACTATTTTTTTAATGACTTTTAATTCCTGTCCTCATTTTTTCAGAAACAGTTGTGACACAAATAACCATCCAAGCTGACTTAACTCTAAGGCTCATTTTGTTTGCCTTTATAAGCACCAATCACTTAGAAATTTGGGGAAGGGTCTAAAAAGGACTTTGTATAGAGACCGATGTAGGTGGGTGTACAGATGTCTGTACATACTCAGCCATTCATTTATCTGTCCTTACATGCAGATATATGAAACATTTATAGCTATACTTTCCTCCATTCCTAAGCCTCTACTAGAAGTGCTTTTCTAGTAAATTTGGTGTTACACAAGCAGGCCATTGCACGTGTGGCACAGGAGATGGGTTAGAAACCTCTGGTAGGGAGACAGGAGTTCAAATGCGCTCTTGGGCCTGGCATGTAAATCAAAACGAGCTTCTTGCAGGCTCCCAAAGCTTGCTCTGAGCCTGCAGACACTTCTCTAGGCCACGTGGGCTGATTCATAAATAAGTGACATTGTCTTTATATCATATGGAAAGTTTAGACTGGGAAGGCTGAAATTGTCCTTGCTACACTTTGGGATGTGCTTGTATTTGGTAAGACAAAGGCCTAGAGGATGCTTGTCATTGAGAATCACATCAGGAAGGAAGCAGGAAAACTGCTGGTTTGTGGGTCAGGACGGGATCTGCACCCTGGTACTGCTCCTGCTCTGACAGGAGCTCCACAGCCGGTAAAAACTTTAAGGGGTTGCTCCATCAGCCCCCTGCAGAAAACCTGTGAACAATGGTCACTGCAGGAAGCATGTCACAGGTAACAGAGCATGTTTGTGTCAAGGCACGGTGCAGAGTCAGCACTGGCTCCAGTGAACACCACATATTTTATGAGTTTTCAGTATATGTTTTTAAAAGTATCCCGCCCGCAGCCGGGGAGCCCTGCCTGTGGGACCGCCCGTGCCTGTGGGGCCTCGCCCGTGGGGCCGCCCACGCCCGTGAGGGCGGTCGTGCCCGTGGGGGCGGCCGTGCCTGTGGGGCCGGCAGTGCCTGTGGGACACTGCCTGTGGGGCTGTGCCCGTGGGGGCAGCCGTGCCTGTGGGGCCGGCCGTGCCTGTGGAGCAGTGCCTGTGGGGCCGGCAGTGCCTGTGGGACACTGCCTGTGGGGCTGTGCCCGTGGGGGCGGCAGTGCCTGTGGGACACTGCCTGTGGGGCTGTGCCCGTGGGGGCAGCCGTGTCTGTGGGGCCGGCCGTGCCTGTGGAGCAGTGCCTGTGGGGCCGGCAGTGCCTGTGGGACACTGCCTGTGGGGCTGTGCCCGTGGGGGCGGCAGTGCCTGTGGGACACTGCCTGTGGGGCTGTGCCCGTGGGGGCGGCAGTGCCTGTGGGACACTGCATGTGGGGCTGTGCCCGTGGGGGCAGCCGTGCCTGTGGGGCAGACAGAGCCTGTGGGGCCGGCAGTGCCTGTGGGACACTGCCTGTGGGGCTGTGCCCGTGGGGCCGGCAGTGCCTGTGGGACACTGCCTGTGGGACAGAGCCTGTGGGGCCGGCAGTGCCTGTGGGGCTGTGCCCGTGGGGTCGGCCGCGCCCGTGGGGCCGGCCGTGCCTGTGGGGCAGAGCCTGTGGGGCCGGCCGTGCCTGTGGAGCAGTGCCTGTGGGGCCGGCAGTGCATGTGGTGCAATGCCCGTGGGGCCGGCCGTGCCTGTGGGACACTGCCCGTGGGGCCGGCAGTGCCCGTGGGGCTGTGCCTGTGGGGCAGGCAGTGCCTGTGGGACACTGCCTGTGGGGCTGTGCCTGTGGGGCCGGCAGTGCATGTGGTGCAGTGCCCGTGGGGCCGGCCGTGCCTGTGGGACACTGCCCGTGGGGCCGGCCGCGCCTGTGGGGCTGTGCCTGTGGGGCCGGCGGTACCCGTGGGGCTGGCCATGCCTCTGGGGCCAGCAGTGCATGTGGTGCAGTGCCTGTGGGGCCGGCTGTGCCTGTGGGGCTGTGCCTGTGGGGCAGGCACAGCCTGCACCTCGCAGCCATTCCTCATCCTGCTGGCCTTAATGCCGCTTTCCCTCTCGGTCTCTCTCTCCCCACTAGACTTTTCAATTTTCCTTCCTCTTTCTTTGTCTTTTCTAGCCCTCTTTAGTCGGTCAGCTTCTTTTGTTGTTCTTGGTTTTGCTTACCAAGGAACACTTCTCATGTGTAAGGTTGTCTCAGTTCACTTAATTTCGTTCTAGACCATCCATTTTTAAAAGAACTCCTCGCAGTGTGCAATGCAGCAGGGTTCTTTACCCACAGCTGATATTCAGCTACTTGTCTTTCACAAGTACAAAAAATACTAAAATGGTAGAAAAGTAAATAAAGCTCTACAGCAAAGCCTGGCATGAGCACTGGCTTCTGCCCTTCATATATGTCATGTTTAGTTCCAGAGGTATTTGGTGTGGGAGCCTGCTGCGGGATGTCCCCAGCCCTGGCCTTTGCTTGATGTGCTCATGATGGGTTTGTGAATATGTGGTAAGGTAGCAGGCATGGTGCCTTTCTGAAGGCTTGGCTAAATCCCAGCAGATTTAGAAACCCTGAACAGATCTCAATAAGCCAGGAATGACTTGGAAATAATACATGCATCTTCATTAAGTCTTCTGAATTATTCCAGTGTTAATTTTGCCTGGTGGAATAACTGTGGGCTCGTTCTACTGTTCCTTTGATGTTTGCAAGCTTTTGGATCCACTGGATATGTCTTTCTCTTCACATTTGTATTTGTGGCTGTCCCAAAGTTTTTCAGGACATAGCACATCACCAAAGATCGTTATTTGTTATTTAAAAACTGCTGTACTGGAATTGAAATTCTGTCCAAATGTGAATTGTCTGTTAGCCATTATTCATTTTTCATTCGTAAACCTTTATCAAGTGATGAGGCAGGGCAGCGAGCAGGGTGTAGAGTCAGCCATTCAGAAACACATCTGAGAGTCACTCTGGACTCTGGCTGGTGAGTCACACTGAGCTGTGAACACATGCTGAATGTCAGGATCCTTTCACACGCTGAAGGAAGTGTTGCACCTTTACTCATCTGCTCTTTATATTGCTCTCCGGAGCCTTTCATCCCAATCGGTTTCTTTGTACAGTAGCTCAGGAACACATCATAAAATCTCCTAAATTCTGGCAGAGTACTCGCTGAGTATGGCATTTAGGATCTTAATTCTGCGACATGATGTGTTGAGCACATGGGAAATGTGAATTTGCTCCATATTGCAAGAGGTGTCCTACTCAGGAGTGTAGGGGGCTCTGCTCTGAGCACATGGAGCACACACTCTGCAGCTGTGAGATGACGGGAGAATGCAATTCTGCAAAGTTTTCCTGTCATCTCTGCACCTCTCTGGCTCTGCTCTGAGCACATGGAGCACACACTCTGCAGCTGTGAGATGACGGGAGAATGCAATTCTGCAAAGTTTTCCTGTCATCTCTGCACCTCTCTGGCTCTGCTCTGAGCACATGGAGCACACACTCTGCAGCTGTGAGATGAAGGGACAATACAGTTTTGCAAGGTTTTTCTGTCCCCTCTGCAGCCTAACAAGTGTGCTTGTGGGTGGAAGTGCAGAGTTAACAGCTAAAGGCTAAACATTCTGGCTGTGGATGATTCTTACCATGCTGATTACAATGTGACTTTTGCCTGGAACATGATGGGTGCCAGGGCATGGATGAGGAAAGAGAACAAACTTCTTTACTGTAAATATTGGTTGTTGAAAATATCCTGGAAGTATTTCTGAGGGTTTCCGTTTCACCTTTCTCTTAATGCTGTTGGTATTGCTGAGATGGCAGTGACACCCTGTGGTACCAGATGCCATCATTCAGGAAGTCACTGTAAGATTGCAACAGCAAAAAGTCCAGGGATTTAATTCCTTCTTACAGATCATGGCTCTGTCCCTCCCTGAGTGCTGTGCACTAGGTAGGATGTACTTTGCTGGATTTACATGTCCTGGAGGTAGCTCTGGTCTGATCCACATCTCTTGGTTTTACAGAGGAGGAATCAGCTATAGCAGCACATCAGGCTCACATTGCAGGGCACCTTTGCTTTCCTCAGTGAAAATGCTCGTTCGGCTCTGCCTGCCCTGGTGAGCCAGGAGAGCTCGTGATTGAAGAGGCAGTGCTCATGCTGGGTGTTCGCTCTTTTTCAGGGGGTCCATGAGTCCAAAGGTGTGTCTGAAGATTATTTGAAGCTGGAATCCCTGCTTCAGAAGGTTGTTTCTCCTTACCTGGGCACGTACGGGCTGTACTCCAGCGAGGGACCCTTCACGCACTCTGCCTGTATCCTGGGTAAGGACAGCGCACACTCACTTGGCACAGCACACAGAGCTTCCCAAAACCTTCCCAGAACCTTGCTCCATGTAGGGCCAGGGCCTGCACCAGAGGTGCTGCCAGTGCTTGCATGAGTACATCAGCCTTCTTTTTTAACACCATTCCAGGTGCAGAGTCACAGTGAAACTTGCAGTGGCAAAAGATGGAAACATTCAGTAAAATTATTCAAGAGTGTTTAGCATTTCCACTCTACCTTTTAACAAGAGGGCTTCAACACAGGATGCTTTATGGACAGGGAGAGGAAGAAGCAAGAGGCCACTTTTAAAGTACTCAGTAGTTCATTTTCATGAGTGTTCATGAGTACACAAAGATTGTAGAAGGCTGTTAAAATTAGGGAAGAGAGCCGGAATTTGTCTTAGAAAAGACCAACACGTAAGCCTTCAAGCATGTAAAAGCTTTCTGCAGAGTAGAAGGTTACAAGCTGTTCTCCATCCCAGTGGAGGTGAGCAATACAGAGTGGGTCTTACACAGCAGTGAGAATTCCTATTACATGGAAGGAAAAATCTCTTTATTTCCCATGCATTGCCCCTGGAGATTATTGACTCTTCCCTGCTGAGAAGCTTTTTACCTGTCAGAAACATCAGCATCCATAAGGAGCAAGGGGGAAACATGGCTGGCCTGGTGGCAGCTTGAGTTCCCTCCAGCTTAATTTCTGATTCTTGGAGCTCTGGTGCCTTTGGTGATTTCTGTGATGGCAACATTTAGCCAGGATGAAGGTGCAATATCCTACATACCAATGCAATTTGGTCAAAATACAAGGGAGATACTACCAGTGTAAATGACAAAGGAAATGGGGTAGTACCTGAGTATTCTATTGTAAATACTGGCATGGTCTGATTAAATAGAGCAGACAGAAGGGAAGATCAGTTCAATTGCATGTTCTCTCTGCAGTCAATTCATCCTGTTTGCCTGTCAGAAATGGTCAGTAAAGCAGTTGATTTTCTCTTGGAGCTGGATGGCAAAATGGTTGTGTTGCAGCAGGTGTTCAAGACACAAATGAGTTTTAAGTGACTAAATAGAGGCTGGTTATGTCCTGAAAATGGTTCAGGATTACTGCTTTGTGTTCATTGCTTGCCATTAAAAGACTACAAGCATTTAAATGGAGCCTCAAACTGACATTTTCTAAATACAAGCTTTTGTATGTCAGGATAGCAAAAATGCACCCAAAGAGAACAAAGCATCAGTGAAAGGAATTGTTAGCAAATAATTGTCTGAGTACATGACTGCATAAGATAGGGAGGTTTTGGTGGGCTGGGCACTTCCTCTTGCTGTGGTCTGGGTTGTAGATGTAGCAGTACTCCTGAAATGGGGCTCACTGTAATCACTGAGCCTGTATACTCCTGAAATTTCCTGTATACTCCTGAAGTGGGTCTGACTGCAGTCACTGAACTGGATCCAAGGGAGCTTAGTGTGCAAGTGGCTGCTGCTTTTGAACTAATTCTCTTCAACTATTTTGGTAGCATGTTGTTAGCAGAGTTCATAGCCCCAGGAACCTTTTCTCATTACCAGCTCAAACTCCTAACAATGAAAAAGTCCAGAAAGGAACTTGGATCAGATGATTTCACTGCTGAGGCAGACACGGCTGCAAAATGCAGTCTTAAATACAGAAACTGGCTTTTTTAGTAGTACAGCATGTGATTGGAATTTGTGTCTAGGTGAGCACATAACTGCACAATAGCATGATTTGAAGGGATTGGAATATGTTTGAGGGAACGTGTACCAGCATCCTGATTTAAAGCAGACAGGTTATTTGCAGTAGCTGTGTGACTTCCAGAGGGTAATTTGATCCCCTGCTCCAGTTGTGCCTCCTTCATGGGATGGCAAAGTGAGAGCAGCAGGAAGAAAGCTCCAAAAGTGAGACCTAATTCCAGTACCTGTTATTCACACCACCTTTTCTTCTGATAGCAGGAGTGAATCTGAGCACTGAGACTGCTCAGAGTTAGAGTGGTGGTCGCTTTGCTCATGATGCTCATTTCATTCACACTGCCAGGATGTTCCACACTAGACTACTGCCAGAGAGGGAGCTCAGTGCTCACTTGCTGCCATCTGCTGCCTATTTCTTTGAAACTCCCACTTGGTTAACAGCATTCAAGCAATCGCTGCTGGATTTAAGGCAGATTTGCGCCCCCAAAAAAGAGGTTTCTGTGGGCACTGCCCTCTAGTTAACATTCTCAGTCACTCTTGGTGGTCTCCCCCATGTGGTCTCTGAACTTTGAAGGGTTTTCCAGAATCAGTAGAAAAACTGCCTGTCTTAATCCTCATGCTCCAAATTTGAAGAGACTTTATTTTCCCAGGATGAATGGAAAAGTTAAATTTCAGCTACTAAAAATGTTTATAACCTGAAAAAGAACAGACTTTCACTTTCTGTTCCTGTCTAAAGGAGGTACTTACAACTATCACCTCTCACTGTATTTACTGTTTTAGTTCAGCCACTGAAGGTATGTGAATATAAGGGAATCACAGTTATCATTTGTAAAGATAGATTTGGGGTCTACAGTATGCTAAAGAAATCTAGGCAATCTGAATGTCCAGAATCAGCAAAATGTCTTCTTCTAGAGAAGTTTCATTGCAGAAAAGCTTATGAATAATCAGGACTTTGCATTTCCTTTGAAGGCTGATAGTTAGGAGTACCATCCCAGGAGGCTGTGCAGGTGTGACTGTGGTTCTCTGTTCACAGAGAAGCGGTTCTTCAGGCACTCCAGGTCGGGGGAGATCCTGGCCAAGAACCCCGTGGTGCGCTCCAAGAGCTACAACAACCCCCTGCTGACGCCCGTGGCCGAGTACGACAGCGAGAGCGCGGCCGCCAACGGGGCGGGCATCCGCAGGCACTCGGTGTCGGAGATGAGCTCCTGCCTGCAGCTCCAGGGCTACCCCGGCCTCGCCCCCGTCACGGACAGCGGCTCCAGGGGCTCCGTGAAGGGCTCGCTGCCCGCAGAGCAGGAGAGGCCCGGCGCCGCGCCGGGGCAGGGCTCCAGCAAGCTGGGCACGGCCGAGCCCCAGAAGGGACTCTTCCGCTCCACCGGCGACCCGCACAGCTCTCTGGAGCTGGACACAGACGCTGCCTTACTGCCAGCTCCCTCCTCCAGCCCTGAGAACATGGTGGATCAGATCTTGGAGTCCATCGACTCTGACTCTGAAGGCATCTTCATTGATTTTGGCCGAGGCTGTTCCAGTTCGTCGGCGTACAATGTGGATGTGAACAGGCAGAGCATTGTGTGAAGGATGTTAGGAGACAAACTCTAGAGTTCAATGATATATTGACAGTTACCAAGACAGCGTGTTGGACTGTGGTCAATACAGCCCCACAAACTGTGGGGTCTAATGATACATGAAAGTTACTGAGAGGGTGTATTGGACTGTGGGCAATACAGCCCCACAAACTGTGGGGTTTAATGATATATGACAGTTACTGAGACAGTGTGTTGGACTGTGGGCAAGCTGTCTGTGCCTAGGCAGATTGGCCAGGGCACCATGGCTGTACTGAACACACACAGTTTGGTTATAGCAGGTGGGAATCTGCTGAGGGGGAAGCAACTCCAACTGCCTTTCCCCACGCCTGGCACCCTGCAGATGGATTTCCTGTTTCTTTATAAACCTAGGGGATCACAAACTCACAAGTGTCTGGTAAAATGCTGTTAGTGCAGCTGGCAGTGATTGTTTAGGAAAACAGCTCAGCAATAGTTGTGCTCACTTCTGATTTTCTAAAGAGGTTTCCTGCAGATGGTAGGTTGTTCTCTGAAGTGAAACACCTCAGCCAGAGGAGAAACAGCTCCTTTAAAAACAAACAAACAAATACAAAAGGCTTTTGGCTTTCATGCCACAGAATACAATAATGAAGAAGTCTCTTTTAATCTTTTTCTTGTACATCCTTGTATGTACTCCTTTGCCTAATGGTGACTTGGAGTTCTTGAAGAAAGGCAAATAAACAGAAATTTGCTTCCTGATGTCACACAATGCCCAGTGTCTCCTTTTCTGTTTCACTGTGTCCTCAGCCAGTACCTTGTGTCTGGGAGGATTGTCTCAAAATTGGCTTCCAAGACCAAAATTCATTTGCTCTGAATGTGGCACTTGGAGAAATCTGTACTGTCAGCTCCTGAAGCATCTGTTGTGTGGAGAGATTCCACCATGTTTCAACTTCCTTGTTTCCTAAATAAGTGAAAATCTGGCCTCTCAGTATATATTTATATTCTTATGGAAATGCCATAAAGCATCTGCTGTCAGTGACGGTTTTGGGAAGTGCAAACCTTGCAGCTCTCCTTATCCTGAGCACACCCAGCCCTTGGATTCTCTCTTGCGGTAACACAGTGGGTAAGAGCTGGATCAGTGGTTTTGCAGAGGGTTGGTGCATGTGATCCCAAGGTGGAGCAGAAATCCTGCTGCACAGTCCAGGTTTGATCAGGGGTTTGCAGTGAAATCCTGCTGCACAGTTTGAGCAGGGGTTTGCAGTGAAGGCAGCTCCGTTTTGTGTCTGTGCTTTGGTGGAAGGAGTCAGTCGATGCCTCCTGAGCTGGATGCCATCATGAGCCTTCACTCACAGGGAACTCTTGGAAAGCACAGGAGAGAGTGGAACTCCTGCTGAACTTGGCTCCAGTACATGACAGGAGCGATGATTCCCAAAAGTGTCCTAGAGTGGTACAAGCCACCACGCTGGCACTATCAGTCCCTACCCTCGTTCTTTCTGACAAACACTGCTCTGTCTCCTAAATTATTTTTGTATTTGGAGAAAAGGAGTGTCCGCAGCCTTGTTCTAAGGACACAGTGCAGGGAGGAAAAGGTAAGATTCAAACCCTTCCATAAAAATATTACATAACCCCAAAGGTAACAAATACAGTGACTCCACACACCTTCATCCCTCAAGGAACTTGAAATGCTTTAAGAGTCATGAGCATACCTAATTACTGGGGAATGGTTAAGCACAGGTCCAATGGAGGAGAGAAGACACTGCCAGGACCCTTCCCACTGCAGGTTTTGTGTGCTTAGTGCCTTCTGCTCTGATGGAAGGCCTTGGTCTCCAGGATTGCTCTGATGGAAGGCCTTGGTCTCCAGGATTGCTCTGATGGAAGGCCTTGGTACACAGGATTGCTCTGATGGAATCCTCTGCCATGCTGGCAGTTAACGAACTTCTCCCACCTTGCACACATGGAGATAGTGAATAAAGATCCTTCTCTGTTTGTTTTAGAAGATTATTTACAGACTGGGTCCAGGAGTGTGAATGCATGAGAGAAATTCTCCTATGGCAACGGCATAGGAAAAGGCGAGAAAGGCAAGAAAAAAAGGGAAAAAAAGGAATAAAAAAGGCAGGAAGAGAGGGGGAAAAAAGCCAGAAAAAAGGTAAGAAGAAAGGCATAAAAACAGGCAAGAACAGGAATAAAAAAGGCAAGAAGAAAGGCAAGAAAGAGGCAAGAAATGCAAGAAAAGAGGCAGGAAAAAAAGCAAGGAGAAAGGCAATTAAGACAAGAAAAAAGGGGAAAAAAGGCAAAAAAACCGCAAGGAAAAGGGCAAGAAGAAACGCCAAAAAAAGACAAGAAGCAAAGCCAAAAATAGGCCAAGAAAAGGGGAAAAAGGCAAGAAAAGAGGCAAGAAAAAAGAGAAAAAAAAAAAAAGAAAGGAAAAAGGGCAAAAAAGGCCAGAAAAAAGGGTAAGAAAAAAGGGAATAAAGGCAAGAAGAAAGGGCAAAAAGAAAGGCCAAAAAAAGGGCAAAAAGAAAGCCCAAAAAAAAGGGCAAAAAAGGGAAAAAGAAAGCCCAAAAAAGGCAAAAAGAAAATGCCAAAAATGGCCAAAGAAGGCAGGCAGGCCCAAAAAATGAAGAAAGACCAGCCAGAAAGGCAAGAAAGAAAGGCCAGAAAAACAGGAGAGAAAGGCCAGAAAGGCAAGCAAAGAAAAAAGGAGGGAAGGAAGGGATGGCACTGTCCCGTGTGGGGTCGGTGCCGATTATCAATTCCAGGCTGTGGCTGTAAAACACCCCTGAGGTGCCGTGGAGCTCCATTCCTGGAGGTGAGGTGGGACGTTCACACCCAGTAATTTCCAGCCGTTAGTGAGTGCAGATGGCAGCAAACACATCCAAAGCACACAGAGCAGGAGCCCTTAGAGGAGAAACCCCAGATCCTGATGGCAAAATGCTGTGAAGGCTGAATGCTGCATTGAAGGATGTGCTTCCTGCTTGCTCTGGGGCTGATCTCTGCTCATTGCTGGATTTTGCTTTACCTGGAAGGGCTCAGGGCAGGCCTGACCACCAGAGTCGCTTGGCCTGCACAGGGACACCTGCTGTGCTTTATGGGCCATCCTTTCTGCTCCAGGAGCTTTTTAGTGCTGCTCTTTCAGGCACCCTGTAATGCTCTGGAGAGATGAATTTTCCCTCTGGTTGTTCTTTGTACTCAGCTTCCCTGACACAGTGAGACACAAAGATGTGCGTACAGAATTTACCACAACTTTGCATGGCCTGGTGGGCAGGATCATCCCTGTCTCAATAAATGAGAGCAGCCCCGTGCATTTCAGCTCAGGTAGATAATTCCTGTTCAGAGGGAATTGCTGGAGCCCTCTGTGAGCTGGAGGAGCCTCCGTGGCCCGAGATCACAGTTTGTGGGGTAGAGCCAGGAATGGGTGCTCACGGCCAGGGGTGTGAGGGGTTCGAGTGCTGTGACACCCTGGACTGACAGTGCTAACACAGGCTGCTCTCTGCTTCTCTCCATCCCCTCAGAGTGCGTGGTGGCCTGTCACAAGTTTGTGGAAGTCAATGCCCTGGGTCTCACCGTGGCTGCCCTGAGCAGCTACGACCCCAGCACGAGAGCGGCAGCGTATTTTGTGCTGGCCTCCTTCCGCTGCCACCTGGATGGGGCTCGCTGTCGGGAGTAGAGCCAGGTGAGCAGTGCCAGGCTGGGCTCTGGGCTGGCTCTGGGGAGCAGAGCCAGGTGAGCAGTGCCAGGCTGGGCTCTGGGCTGGCTCTGGGGAGCAGAGCCAGGTGAGCAGTGCCAGGCTGGGCTCCCTTTGGGGAGCAGAGCCAGGTGAGCAGTGCCAGGCTGGGCTCTGGGGAGCAGAGCCAGATGAGCAGTGCCAGGCTGGGCTTTAGGGAGCAGAGCCAGGTGAGCAGTCCCATGCTGGGCTCCCTTTGGGGAGCAGAGCCAGATGAGCAGCGCCAGGCTGGGCACTGGGCTGGCTCTGGGGAGCAGAGCCAGGTGAGCAGTGCCAGGCTGGGCTCTGGGCTCGCTGTCAGGAGCAGAGCCAGGGGAGCAGTGCCAGGCTGGGCTCTGGGCTGGCTGTCAGGAGCAGAGCCAGGTGAGCAGTGCCAGGCTGGGCTCCCTTTGGGGAGCAGAGCCAGGTGAACAGTGCCAGGGTGGGCTCTGGGCTGGCTCTGGGGAGCAGAGCCAGGGGAGCAGTGCCAGGCTGGGCTCTGGGCTCGCTGTCAGGAGCAGAGCCAGGGGAGCAGTGCCAGGCTGGGCTCTGGGCTGGCTGTCAGGAGCAGAGCCAGGTGAGCAGTGCCAGGCTGGGCTCCCTTTGGGGAGCAGAGCCAGGTGAACAGTGCCAGGGTGGGCTCTGGGCTGGCTCTGGGGAGCAGAGCCAGGGGAGCAGTGCCAGGCTGGGCTCTGGGCTCGCTGTCAGGAGCAGAGCCAGGGGAGCAGTGCCAGGGTGGGCTCTGGGCTGGCTCTGGGGAGCAGAGCCAGGTGAGCAGTGCCAGGCTGGGCTCTGGGCTGGCTTTGGGGAGCAGAGCCAGGTGAGCAGTGCCAGGCTGGGCTGGCTTTGGGGAGCAGAGCCAGGTGAGCAGTGCCAGGGTGGGAAGTGTGAATGGAAGACTGGACTTGGGAATCAGGATGGTCTTCTTGGGTTTAAAAAGCCTGAATGGCTTTTAAAGGCATTTATATCAGACCTGGTTTATTTTTATTATTCTTTTTGTAAACTGAAAAACAAACAAAAAAACCAACCCTAATGCATTGCTGCTGCTGCCATGTGCAACACAAACCCATCTTCCCTCTGCCTGGAACAGGTGAGAGATGGAACTGAGCCCCAAAGGATTTTCAGCTCAGTGAGTATCCGTGAGTTTTATTGGGAACTGTCTGGGAAATCTTGTTCTTCAGTGTGGCTGTGAGGGTGGTTGAGCAGCCAGTCTAGACCTGCAAACACAGCAGTGCCACAGTGAGAGGCTTGGAATTGTAAACCAGGGTTTATTAAACTGAATTACAGCTGTGTGCTGTGCCCAGGTCCTTTGTACAAATAGTGTACGGGGAAAAACCAGAACTGCACATTGCATGTGATATGGATGGAATTTTGGCGGGGTTAAATAAAATCGAGATGCATATGACGGAATCGCTTGTACGTGTAAATATTGTTATCCTAAAGGAGCCCTCAGCTCTGTTCCAAGAGATGAGTTAAAATGACATTTCTTTACAAACCCGCAAGCCTTTTGGAGGCTGCAGTTTGTGTCATGTAGAATTCCCAGGGGCTGCCAGCAGGAAATCTGT